AAGCCAATCACCGACGGTCGCGTCACCCGAACAGGGTATCATCAAGCCGACTCACCGCACACTCGTCGCGGAGTCGCAACACTCAACCAGAGCATCGTCAAGCCGACTACCGACAGTCGTATCGCCCGAACAGGATATCCTCAAGTCGACTCACTGCACACTCGTCGCGGAGTCGCAACACTCAACCAGAGCATCGTCAAGCCGCCTACCGACAGTCGTATCGCCCGAACAGGGTATCATCAAGCCGACTCACCGCAAACTCGTCGCGGAGTCGCAACACTCAACCAGAGCATCGTCAAGCCGACTACTGACAGTCGCATCACCCGAACAGGGTAACTTCAAGTCGACCCACTGTACCCTCGTCACAGAGTCGCATCACTCACCACAGGGTGCCATCATCAGCATCAGCCAGTCGGCTGCTCATCAACGACGGCCGTGACACGGATCTACCCGCAAGTAGCAACGAGACATCGCAACAACATTATATTCTTTCCCACAGGTTTATCTATATCGAACTCGATAAAGACCACATCAAATTACCGTATTCTCTTGCATATTTACTGGTTGTTTTGGGACACGAGGGGCTTGGACATATACATTTTTGTGCGAGCCCGGACTCCGGCAAGCTAGGCCGAGCACCTCAAAAGAGGGTCGTTACATTACCTTTTAGGGAAGTGGATGCATAAGTTAATTTTGTCCATTTGTAAACTTCCTTAACTTTTTAGGATTCCAACTCTGCTAAAATTTCGTCTTCTGGGATATTTATGAGTAAATTACAATAAAATACTCCCTTTGTCTCGTTGAGGCTCTTGTGTTCACTTCCTTCTACGTTCATCTGGTTTTGAATTTTTAGAAAATAATTTATTTTTGTCTGGTGGTATCATGTTGATTGAACAAGGTGCATCCCTGCTTGATGCTTTTTGTTGTGTTATGTTTTTGCTGTGTCACTCGATTTTCTAGTTGGTTTATGTCTCAAAGTTTGTTGAACTTGTAGATCATATTTGATCACTGTAGCTGCACGGGATTTATACACAATGGTCTGGAGTTCAAATGGTTTTATTTGAATAAATTATTATTTTTTTTTTTTTACTTATTGTTTTATTTAATTTAATTTTGCGTAATATATTTTGTGGTGGAGCACGAAAGAAAACAAACTTACCATTTTTTCTGAAATGTCTGTTGCATCCAAGACCAACGTTTAAGAAACGTCGCACAGTAGCGCCTTTTCTCATTTAGCGTTGCAAAAATCATATCTTTTGAACCAAATAAGATAATCGAATAATTTAAACGGCATTGGACAGGTATTTGTTGTAAAATATATATATGTACTGCATAATGTACCACGCCCACAAATACGCCTTTTTAAAGGGTATCAAAGTTAAAAAATAATTTTTTTTCAATGAAAACAATTTTTAAAAAAATATTTTTAATTTAATTTTTTATGTTTATTTTTATGTATTTGCTCAAATAAAAATAATTTGAACACTGAAAAAAAAAAATTTTTTTTTAATTCAAAGTGTAACCGCCACGCGCTACAGTTAGTATATTTTTTGGTTTGTATGTAATTGTGTCGGTATTTTGGTATATTTAACCCTGAGTAACTTGTAGACATAGTGTAGTCGGTGGCTTTCATCGGCTTCAGAAGTTATAGACTACTTTAGGCAGAAAAAGGTGAAAAAAATGGACAGGTAGCGATTTACATGTACAAGCCCAAACCAAAGTGCCGTTTTATTTGGGTTAATTAACAGTTCATGAATGTATCTATCATTTAAAGTAAGAACCATGACCATTGATTTTATGGTTTTTGTGTAGTATTACCTGAAAGTCGACCATTTTACCCATTTTTTTTTTGGTATGATGCAAAAAACGAAAAAAAGTTCAACTTTGAATGCTCATATCTTCTGCAAAAGAAATCTTAAAATAGATTTTATTGCAGATTCTAAATCCTTGGGAAATTGTCTGTCGAATAAGTATGATTAAAATCGTTTTTGCGAACATGACTTTTTCGATTTTTGCAACGCTAATTGTTCGAGAGGCGCTACTGTGCGTCGTCGGAACCAAAGATAATTGAATTTCGGAAAATATATAACATATTACTTTCGTAATATTTTATAATTGGATATCGTAGTTTTTTTCCAAATTCCCATATTTATGGCAAATTAACCTTAAGACCAGAACATTTTTATGAACTGACGAAAGCGGCTTTCAAAACAAAAGAACGAAAACCCCAACAACTATATCTATATTATTTGCGTACATTTCATAATATCAGCCTATTCATTTTATATGTACAATTTTTATTTTCATATGGCAAACGCTATACTTAAAAATCATAAATAACAAGAAAGGAAGCTAACTTCGGCGCGCCGAAGTTTGTATACCCCTTGCAGGTTGCAATTGGAACATTAAGAATCGAGCCATTGTGGTTAAATAATTAGAAAAAAAATTAAAGAAAATATATAAAAATATATAAAAGTTGTATATTTATACATAGCATAAATAAAATGCTGAAAACACACACAAAACATTTTTACATTGCCAGTTTTACATTTTCTCTACATCTACCGATCGTTTCTATGGCAGCTATATGATATAGTAGTAGGATTTTCATAAAATTTATACCAAAATATTAATAGTTAATTAATCTGTAATATGAAAAGAGGCCCATATCTCAGAGTAGATGAAAGTACGTGGAAAAACAACGAAGTTATAATTTTTTTCTATTAATTTCCCGATCGTTTCTATGCTAGCTATAAGATACCGAAATTCTAAAATAATATAAAATGGCTATATCTAAAAAATGATGCAAAAATGTTGAAAAACAGCCAAGTTATATTTTTTACCAAGTTTATATTTTTTCCAAAAATGTATCGAACATTTATATGGCAGCTATATGATATAGTCGTCCGATCCGGTCCGTTCCGACATATATAGCAGTGAGAGTATATAGAAGACTATATGCAATGTTTCATTCAGACAGACGGACGGACTGACGGACGGACTGACGGACGGACTGACGGACGGACTGACGGACGGACTGACGGACGGACTGACGGACGGACAGACGGACATGGCTAGATCGACTCGGTTGTTGATGCTGATCAAGAATATATATACTTTATAGGGTCGGAAAGGTCTCTTTCACTGCGTTGCAAACTTCTAACTGAAATTATAATACCCTCCAATGGTATAATAACTACATCTCTCACCGTAATTATAAAATCGAAATAAACATAAAATGTAAAAAGTAGATACAGCTGTGTTCACTGAAATAGCAGTGCGACAGAGGAACAACTTTAAAACGTTTTTTTGTACATATTCCTTTTTGCAAGCTGATCTATTGCACATTGTTTTTGTAAAATGGAACATAAAGATAAGAATCGAGAAAAAATTCCGTTAGATTTGCTCTATTTTTATGTTTTATTGATATTTTTTCACATATGCAGCTCGTTTTGGCCGATCACTGAAATAGCAGTTTTTAATTTTCTTTCGCAAAAAGTGTCGAAATTTCTATTAATTTTGTAAAAAATGAGTTAAATTAAGGTCGTTATTATAGTTTATACTATTATACACCTTTACAACGCAAAAAAAAGTATTTTAGTGGGCGCAGGACTTCACTGCTCCATGGGAGAAAGGTATCAGATAACTTAGCCTAGAAAGAAGGGCAAAACATATAAAGAGACTTCAAATCTTTCAAATTGTTCTTTTAAAATAGTTTATAAATCATAAAATATGAACCGAACGAACCCAAAAAAAACCGAGGTACGATTCACAAAACCACAATTGTACAGGCTCGACGCGTACTTCCCTTCAGCAAAGCTAGTTTTTTTTGCATCCTCTAGGGATATATGAGCGGGAATTGGCATGGGAATCAGTCATGGGACCATTCGCCGGGGACTTATTGAATAAAATAGATTCGCGAAGTCCATGGAAAATGTCACTGCTTGGTTAAAGGCATATCAAGGCCAGATTGGAGTTCGCCAATAGCCACTTGAACTGCCACTATTCAAATGGCGTAATATCCTTTGGACAAATGACTCCAAACTGGTTTTATTTGGTGGAATAGGACAAGACAATATATCCGTCGACCTCCAAATACATAGTACCCCCCAAACCATACGCTGAAGACAGTAAAACACGGTGGTCTTAAAATCATGGTATGGGTATACTTTTCATACAACGTTATAGGTCCCGTATATATGATCGGTGGGATCAAAGACCATTATGTTTATGTCTAAATATTAAAAACTGTCTTGCAGCCTTATCCTGAGGAAAATATGCCATTAATTTGGACATTTCAGCAGTGCAGTGACATTAATCATACAATCAAGGTGGCCAAGGAGTGGGTTCTTAATGAAAAAGTGGATGCAATGCCATGGCCTGCACGGTCCCCGGACATAAATCCGATCGAAAACTTATGGGGGACATCAAGGGCTACGTATTAAAGAAGTTTCCGACTTCTAAGCCGCAGCTTTGGCAATTTGTGCAGGAGGAATAAGGCCATATTCCCCTCAAGCGTTGCTAAGACTTGGTGGACTCCTTGCCACCCAGGTATGAGGCTATGATAGCTTCTAAAGGCTATTTAACAAAATATTAGATCATAGTCAATTAGGATTTAAGAAGAAATAGGTTTCTTATACGATATTTTTAAATTTATGAAGAATTTTAGTTTTTCACTGCTATTTCAATGAACGGCATAATATAGACCTTTTTTGTTGTTTTTAGCTATATCTTCTAAAAGGTTTATGTTACCTAAATTAAATGATTGTGGTATTGTTAATAATTAAATACACTAAGCCTTTATGAAAAAAAATTTTATGAAAATAGTGTTTGTAACAGGATTTTCCAATCTTAAACGTGCAGGTCGTGGGGCACTGCTATTTCAGTGAACACAGCTGTATATCTTAATAGTAAACGTCAATGACTTTTATGGTGGTTTGCTTAATATACATGTATATATTTGTTCATTTAAGTAAAATAACAATAAGACAACTATTAAATATTTTATTAAGTATTCTTTTATTTGGGTTACAGCAAAACTTATTTGAAATTGTAGTTAAATTTAATAAATAAAGACAATTACTTTATAACAGACTCACTGATTTTATAGCCAAGGATGCCAGGCAGGGTCCATACGACACAGATTATCAGTATTTGTTGCAGATTGTATAAGAACAGAAATCTTTTTAGTTTCAATGCTATCAAAATAGGAAATTTTGTTAAAACGCGACATAATAATTTCTACCGCTGAATTAACAACATTAACTGTATGCTCCATAGAGTTTCCTTCTATATAACGCCCATCAACACCTTCTGTTAATTTGCATTCTCTAAATCCTTTTTTTTGCAAACCAATTATTTCATCTCTTAATATTGTCTGCAGTATTGAACATAGCTTATAATTTGGTTGAATGAAACATCGAGCAGTAGCTACAATTGCCGCTGACAAAGGTCCGATAATGCCTATGCTTGTAATAAATTCACTTATGTTAGGAGTTAAACGAAATGGTACAGATCTATGTTGAATCAGCTGACACTTATCATCATTTAAATCGAACTTAAAATATGAAATATTCATAAGTCCGGAGTCTTGGTGAAGATACATCATATCTGGATTCAGACGTGTTAAATTCAAAGCGTGTTCACATAGATATGCTAATGCCAGCTGGAGGGTAAGCTAAAAATAAATATATAATATACAATTTTAATTTATTTTTATGATATATAATTAATTAAACAAGAAAAAGAGCTATCTTGGGCAAGCCAAAGTTTTTACGCGGTCGCAGATATAACAACACTTTTCATTTATAACAATTGAAGAAAAAATTAAAAAGTGTTAACTAATTTCACAGTTCAAAATATATATACATTATAGGGTTGAATATAGGGTGTTGCAAACTTTTGCTCAAATTATAAAACGGTCAAGAGTTTAAAAAAAGGTATCATGAGTAGATTCAAAGGGTTTTCAAAAAAGAAGAAAGACTACAAAGTATTTTCTGTTTTTTTAAATATTTTGTGTGGTGTAGCATAAAAGAAAACAAACTTACCATTTTTCTGAAATGCCAAAAGTCTGTTGCTGCCAAGAAGGTTTTTAAAGACCAACGTTTAAGAAACGTCGTCGGAACCAAAGATAATTGAATTTCGGAAAAAATTTCTCTCAAAATTGTGTGCGTAGTTTGAGTTCCTCTTGCTTGGACCTCAGAAAGACTTTCGTAATATTTTACAATTGGCATATCGTAGTCTTTTTGTATTTCATTGCAACATTTTTTAAATATTTTCAGTAATGAGATACTATTTGGATTATCTTCAGCTAATCGCATTTGGGGAGATATTGGCACAACGCGGGGTACTGTAATATTTAAAAAACGTCTACTTGTCTCTTTTTGCTTCTCCAAGTAGTAGTTCAACATGCGTTTCAATTGCAATACTCGTTCTTCTCGGCGTGCATCCCCCAGACCTGAATCAAGCACTACTAGGTAAGGATAGATTTTTCCATTGGTTCCTCTTATATATAATCTTCGCGCAGCAGTATTGTTTTTTTGTACAATTTCCACACGTGGCATAAATCTGGCAATCCTAACATAATAGTGCGATGATGAAGGTATTAATAATTCTCCGGGTAATTCAACTTCCGCTGTTTTTTGACTAAAGTTTGATAGAAATCTACACTTGTCCTCTATTAAAAATGAGGTTGGTAATTTTTTAACCTTAGTTTCGAGGACTTTAATCCATGTTTTTAATTTCGATATTAAATTGTGCAATTTCATGGCACCTGGCTTTGTAAAATCAAAATCATTAGTGAATTGTTCTTTCATTTTCTGGAATACTGGATCCTGAAACGTTACTTGTGCACGACGAGCAAGGGATTCTGAGGCGGCTGAATTAGAAACGGAAGAGGTTACAGATCCTGGGACATTTTCTATTCCAATTCCAAATGTTGAACCAAGCTTTTTGACAAAGTGCAAAGTGTGGGGAGTAATAGTGGCATGAGCAACAGTGTTTCTGTTCTCAAATGCTATGGCATAGCATTTTATCAAACCTTGTCGCAGTTGTCGAAGTACTTCCTCGGTCCAGCTCTCCCGAAACCAAACCATTTGGTCTACAATTCCTTCCAAAGAACTTAGAATTGTAGGATGCACTTCTCTTTGTAATTGCATAACTTTAGAGCATCGCCACATGGGAGGTGTTGCTTTAATAGGATTAACTGACGGAATATTTCCTTGATTAACCCTTCCACAATTTGAGCCAATAACATCGAAATTCTAAAAGTATATAAATATAAAGTCTATAAATATAATGTACATATAATATTTGAATATAAATAAATATGAAATGAAAGAAAGGAAGCTAACTTCGGCACGCCGAAGAAAGATTGTATACTCTTGCAGATTTCTATTGGATCATTAAGAATCAGAGCTTGCAAAAAACTGTCGACCGTTTCTAGTTGTCTGCATATATCTGTCTCTCTCTCACTCTTTACGAAAAGACTCAGAGAGCACCCGTTCATGAGTTCTTGGAATCAGCTCGCGCGCGTTCAGAGCGAACTCGTTTTTTTCTATTCTGTTTTGTTTTGGTTGTCCCATGAACCGTGGTCAGTGAACAAAAGTCTTTTGCGTATGTATTGGAATACATTCACACGCATAGGCAAGCAAATCCTTAAACGTTTAGTTGCGATTTAAAAACAAAATTGTCTAAAACTTTTCTATTCTTTTTAATAGCATTTTGTTATATGGACACTTGTTCACAAAAATAAATAAATAAAAAAAAAAAAACAAACAAAGGTGAAGACCGTTCGCGCTGAGCTGTTCGGTCCCTTGGTCTTTTGCTGGCTCTCTGTGTGCGAACGTTTCTCGTCCCGCTCTTTACGCACGGCTCATTGAAAGGCCGAAGCAAAAAGAGCTCAACGAAAAGCGTTCAACAAAAAACCGAAATGAAGACAGCAAAACTCCCTTGCTCTGAACGAGAGCGAGAGAGTATGATCTTTTTCGGTTTTACTCGCAACGAGAGCACAGGAAAAACCCCGTCAACAGTTATTTGCAAGCTCTGTTAAGAATCGATCCATTCTGTCAAATTGCTAAAAAAAAAATAAAAGGAATTATATAAAAGCTGTATATTTATACATAGAATATAACAATTTGGTTTTGATAAAATCTAATAAAACAAGAAAGGAAGCTAACTTCGGAATACCGAAGTTTGTAAACCCTTGCAGATTGCAATTGGATCATTAAGAATCGCGCCATTCTGGTTCAATAATTAAAAGAAATAAATAAAAGAAAATATATAAAAGCTGTATATTTATACATAGCATAAATAAAATGCTGAAAACAGACACTAAACAGAGTTTCATTACATTTTACCTATACTTATTATGTTTACTGTTACACAGTACACAGTTTTACATTCTCAGCTTAACATGTTCTCTACATTTACCGATCGCTTCTATGGCAGCTATATGATATAGTTGTTGCAGAAATCCTCCATCTTAACCATCCACGAGGGCGCCGGCTGTGCAATGGGCACTGTATTAACCCGGATACGGGTAATGCATCGCTGCTTGCCTTGTCTAGCAAAGGCTATGGTTCAATTCCTGCCCAAAAAGCCAGAGGAAATGAACCATTAGCCATGGCTGAATAAAACGTGGGTGGTTCTCCAGAAAAAAAATCATTCTAGACGGTTTAAATGATGAAATCGGGGCTGGGATGCCCAAACGTCGGTGGAACGCGTGACCGCTACCACCGGCGGGCACGGGGGAGAGCAATCCTCTTTGCGTGTCGCCAGCGGTTACACCTCTGATGCGACAGGAGCAGGTCAAGTCAGTGGCAACGCTACTGCCGCAAAAACGACGCAGGGAAAGTTAAGCCGCTCACGCGCCATAGTCGATACAGACTCGGACCTTGAGGGCGTACAGCTCTCCAAAGAGAAGGAAGAAAGGTAAAGCTTGCCTGGGCCGAGGAGAAAATCGCTGAGGGGAGGCTACACTTCGTCAAGCTCTTTCACATGAGATCGTCGGGTGGATTCGCTAACAAGGTGGTCGTCTCCAAGGAGGTAGGCCCTCCCCAAATGGTAAAAAGCCCAAAAAGACCGCAAAAGTCAGTGAGGTAACCAAATGACATTTAATCGTGGCGCTCATTGCCAGAAGCGATGAAGCCGGCAAGATGACCGATGCGCGGTGGAAGATGGTACATGCGCGGCTCGTTGAGTCATTGTATGCACGGATTGAGGAAGATCCCAAAGTGCATAGATGACCCGACGAGAAAGTGGCTGCCAGTTGGAGGCGCTGTGGGAGGGGGCCAAGCTGGAGGTAGTGGACCGGGAGCTAATCCCATCCATTCCAAAGGCGAAGGTACTGTAACGACCCTCTTTTGGGGTTGCACGGCCTAGCTCGCCGGAGTGGAGGATCGTACAGAAATTTATATGTCCAAGCCCCTCGTGTCACCAAAGAATCAGTAAAAAGGCAGAGAGAACGTTCTAAGTTGATGATAGTTTCATTTATAATTATACAGTAAACCCTGTGAAACCCTAACGCTTTACTGCTACCCTATGTCTGCCGAGATCCGCCAACCAAAGCCAGACTTTGTCTCCTCCTATACCTGCTTTCATGAGTGCGGTGAACTTCACTCGACGCCCTCCCCTATTCGTGATCCGCCATCCAGGGCCAGACCAGGACCCAAGTCTATACTACCTTTACGGGCGTGGTCATACGGACCGCACTCGATACCCTGTTTCCGCGAGGCCCAACATCCAGGGCCAGACCTCGTCCCACGCCTAACTAGCTATGCGAAGTCCGCCAACTAGGGCCAGACTCCGCTCCTCCCGTCTATTCCGCTAGGTCCGCCAACCAGGGCCAGACCTAGTCCCACTTCTACCTACCCCTTTTCATACTATGGCTAGCTACCAAGGTCCGCCGTCAGGGCCAGACCTTGTCCTGCTTCTTTACTTATTGACTCACCAGATGTTTCCTGCTCGGCCGGTGCGTAACTTTATATAGGCGGCCGACAGCTGTTGCCCGAAGATCGATAACCGATATTTTCGATGGTCGATAGGCGATGGTGTTGCCAGATCGATCATATTCACTCTATTGTTACCAGCTGGGGTGGGCGCGCTATCCCTTAGTCGGTGTTGCCGTATGGCGGCAGTGTGCCCGTATTTCAGGACTGCTGGTTTTCCCGCGCCCTCGCCTTTTATTTAAATTCGTAATACTAACAACCTAAATGGCTCGATTCTTAATGATCCAATTCAATATGCAAGGGTATACAAACTTAGGCGTGCCTTAATTTATATTATATTTGATATTTTAAGTCTAAAATATATAGTATATTTATACGAATTAAAAATAATGTTTTTGAAATTTTATCAAAACCAAAGAAATAATTGTTATGTGTAATACATGTATGTATTAATTGGGTGTGCGGAAGTCAGCTATCTTTATTGTTTAATTATTAAAATGCTGTACTCCCTACAGGTAGGGAAAATCGACGAAAACCTCGATGCATTGATGTTTTAAAACATTTTGGGAACCGATATTGGTTGCTGACTATCACATTTTGAAACAGCACGGTACGGAGAGGGTAAAACACCGCTACAAAGCAGTGAGAAAGAGAGAAAGGTAAATAGTTTCAAACGGTTTTTCTTGATCCCCGTTTTAAAGGCCTGTATGGAGAGGCGAAATCAAAATAATGAAAATTAGCATGGCGTTAGGAGATAACGCGAGGGCCCGAGCGGGGTGCGAGATGGAATAAAAAATTAAATAAAAGCCTGTTATGTTTTGTTTTTGTTCTCGACTGCCCCTTTCCGTTGCAGTTTCTTTACATATTTCAAATTATAGACCAAGCGATGACCAATATTGTGCGGAAAGGTCAAATTAAGGATTTCAGAGAAAAGCTAATAAAATTGCTACAAAAAAATACAATATTTTGTAAATTGAGCACTTACATACATTCATTTGCTAGAAAGGAGGTGTTATAGTAAAAATATAAATAAAGAAATCGTAGGTCATCAAGTATAAAACGAGACAGCTCTACGATTTAGGTCGTGAACCAGGTTGCTCTCGCGGACCATGTTGGATACCATTAATTTCTATGGACAGCACAATACAAGTAGAAAATAAATATAAAAAGATTCGAGGAAACTACTACAGACGTGCTGCCGCATTGGTTGTTTGCATGCGTACTAAGTAGGTTAAGATTAAAGTTTTTAGTTTAGAAAAGCTATCTACATTAGATGTAATGGTGAAAAAATTATTGTAATTTGCACAAAGGACTTTAAAGAGCAAGATACTCAAAGGATGTTCAACAATGGGGCAATAATGGTATAAAGGCTCTAGTGTTTCTGTTGGTACGTGAAAATTAAGCTGACCCAGCAAGTTAGCACTTTCCACGTCTCAGCCTATTAGGTTGTAAATGAATGCAATACCTAGCATGGTTCTACGACTAGATAAAGAGGGTAAATTAATTAGTAGCAGTCTACTAGTATACACCGGTAACCTCTGGTTTGCATCCCAGTTCTTTTGAAGATCCATATTCTAAGATAGGACGAACAAGCGAACTATATAGAGATGTTGTAACATAGGGGTCATTGAATTCCTTCGACCACCGCACAGTAGAGCCTCTAGAACAACAGCCGTTGCAAAAATCAATCAGTCAAAAAAAAGTCGTGGCAAAACGACAGTAAATTTTCCATGGATTCTGAATCTGCAACAAAATCAATTTTCTGATTTATTTATAGAAAATATGAGCATTCAAAGTTAAACTTTGTTTCCATTTTTCATCTTAAGAAAGAAAAGGGGGAAATGGAGATAATATTATACTAATATATTATATATTATTATATTATAATAAAAATAGATTACCTATCGTAATGATTCGTTCTTTAAATAACCGAGGTTCTCCATGCCGGTAGAAGCCTGAAGCCTAAGTAGGCCGCTGGTGGACTCTCCCCGGAGCAATATGGCTTCACGAAGGGGAAGTCTACGCTGGACGCCATTGCGAGGGTAGTCAAAGTGGCTCAGGATGCCATTGCCGGAACGAGGTGGAAAGGATGAAGCAAGTCCTACTGCCTGTTGATCACCCTGGACATCGGGAATGCCTTCGACTCGGCAGACTGGAGCCGAACACTTGAGTCCCTGAGGAACTTTAACATTCCTGGGTATCTGCTGAACGTAGCTCACAGCTACTTCAGCAACAAGGTCCTCATGTTGGACACGAGCATGGGTCCCAGAGAGCACAATGTCCCAGACGGAGTCCCGCAGGGCCTTGTGGGCCTT